CAGCAAAGTGTTTTACAATGAACGTAAAAATACACATATTGTGTGTGGGTATCTTTACATGATTTATTGTAAGTTAACTTAAATTGGAAAGTGTGATATTTAGATCCCCCTGACGTTTCATAAACTGTTTAGACCAGGAAGCCCGCTACAATGACAAACTATATGTGCCAAACTCATCCTGGACATATGGCCATTGTCTTCTGAGGAATTATGCCCAAGGTCAACTCAGCCCTTTATTCTTAACTTCCCTTTAATATTTTTAGATCAAGCATGTTCCTACAAAAGGAGAGCTCTGATAATGGTTTCTTTCTGTCCTTTTTCTTTAATTTTCCTGCCAGCATAGCTAGGAGAAGATTGATGGGGGGAGAGAGAGAGGGCTTACTACAGTCTCTAAAAAGCATGAACAAATTAGACAGCTCACATTATTCGTGGTGCTCACAGTCCTTCTAAAGAAAAAGCAAGCGTATAAAAGCAGTTCTTGCATTCTGCCCAAGTGCCTCAGTGGTGCAATGCAGAAGAGAAACTCTGTGTGGCTAGTCTGTTACAGGGTGGTAGGAAAACCGCTGGGTATGTGTTTTGTTACTGATTTATTCAGCTTTTTGAATAGGAAATGTTGGCTATTTAGGGTTTTTAATTAGTCAGTCAGTTTGCACCATGGAATCAGTTCTCCTTTTGTAAATGACTTGTTGTTGTACTTTGATTTTAAGAAATATTTGATTGAATTTCATCAATTACATTTTAAATTTATTTAACAATTACTGACAAATAGTCTAACCCTCAGCCGACAGTCTGGATACGATCCAAAAGTAAGAACTAGACTAGAGCCAGATGCATTTACACCATTGTAAAATGAACAACTTTCAAGTCTGTTGTTTGCTAGGGAGAAAAATGTAGAAAAGACAGTGTGCATTGCTTATCTTAAACAGAAGTTAATAGATCCTAGCTTGCGCCTTACTATAAATCATTCATTTAAGCTCTAACTTTGGGATATTATAAAAAACGCTTCTATATTTCTAGATAGAAATGTGTCTAGAAAATAATGGCACTTACTTTAAAATATTTTTTCAAGTGTTCATCTTGTAATGCTCTCATTCTCTGTGCAATACTTCCTTTGTCTCAAAATAGGCCTGAGACTCGGCTTCCTGCTAAGTAGTATCATTATGTCAGCGGCTTTCAGTGCCAGACCCAGGAGCCCTTCACAGTTACGGAGATATGTTTTAGCTCAGTGCCTCAGTTTCCCCATCTGTAGAGTGGGTTTAATGTTCCCGCCCTCTTTTGTGAAGTGCTTTGAGATCTCTCAGTGAAAAAGTGCTAGGTAATGACTTGCACATCAAACGCAGGATGAAAGGCAAGTGCCAGCTTTCAGGTCCACACACCGTCTGCCCGCTCCATGCAGTATTTGAACTCTGGGTGTGGACTGACCCAGGGCGTGGTCAGTGCGGATGCAGTGCTGTCCAGGAGCCCAGAAGTGATTGTAGGTGGCGAAAAGAGCAGCTAGAAGGAGGGGCTGTTTGTTTGGTGCATTTGTTTCTGTGGGCTGCCGTGTAGCAGGGGCAGGTTCGTGTCCATGTGGAGTCCCTGCACTGACCTGCTGGCATGGGGCATTTCTTGGGCCACAGCTGGGAAGCAGGAAGCTTTCCCTGTAGCATTGTGTGGACAGGGAAAGCTTTGCCGTGTCCAGAGTGAGGCAATGAAAGGTTTTTTAGCACCAGCTTCCAGGACTGGGACAGAGATTTTACTGACGGTGAGAGGGAGTGTTTTTTTTTTTTTTAATTAATTCCCCCTTTTCCTGGCATGTGTAAAGCTACCCCGGGCTCAGGTTGGAGCCTGTGAATGTTTCCTTTTTGCCCTGCAACGCATGACACTCCAGGGTGCTATCCAGACCAGGGAAGTGCTGCTGTGGTTTGGGATGCCTCCCGACGCTTTGCTGCTGTAACTCCCCCGTGGTCGCTCGCAAACCACCTGCAGCATCTGCGTGTCATAGGGACATTCCAATGCGTTTTAATTCTGTAAATTTCAGCGTTTGCATGGTTACACGTGGGGGGTAGGCAGGAGCCAGTGGATGCAGGGAGCCGGCTGAAAGCCAGCTCCCCACATGCACCATCTCCCACCTCTCTCGCCACTACGTGGCTGCCTCTGATACAGAGGCAGCAGTGGGGGAGGGGGGCTGCAGAGGGCTGCATGTAACAGTGCATGGTAACTGATGAGCCTTGGCTCATTTGGTTAATTGTATAATGGTTACACGTTCACAGCCCTAGTGACCACAGCCCTGGTCCAGCAGCCTGTTTGCAACACAACCGCTACAATCTGGCTTCCAGCAGCCTGAGGTGACCACGTGCAGGGTGACCCCCCACACATTCCCAGTCCCAAATTTTCTGCTCAAAACGTGTGTTCTGCATTGTCCCACCCACTCCTGGACAGTCCCGATAGATTAGGTTCCTTGCCCCGTAACAGTCTGCTGCCTTAAATGGAGTTACCCAGTCAATTCACAACACACGGTTTGTTTTAAAGAATAAAACAAAGTTTATTTAACTACTAGGAGAGAGGCTTTAAGTAAAACAAGTATAAGGCATCAGTGGTCACCAACCACTAGATCAGGATCTACTGGTGGGTCTTGGAGCCTCTGACGAGTGATCCTGACTGGTTTGGCCAAGAGGAAGGGAAGGGAGAAAAGGGGGTGCTGATTTCAGAGTACCCCCCTCCCACCCTGTATCCTATCTCCACTGAGCTGGGGGAGGGGCACAACAGGGCTTGGGATGGAGGGAGTTTGCTGGCTACTTTTGAGAGTGGTGCAGGGCCAGGGCAGGGGTGAACCTGTCTTAGCCCCACTGCACCCCCACCCAGGAGCCATCAGAAGTAAGCCGTGTCCAGCTGGAGCCAGCTCCAAACCCCTTCCCAGTCATGAGCCCCCTCCTGTACCCTAAACCCCTGCCCCAGCCCTGAGCCCCCTGCACCCAGACTCCCTCCGACACCCCAACTCCCTGCCCCAGGCTCAGCTCAGAGCCCCTCCCACTCCAGATCCCTTAGCCCAAGACCAGAGCCTGCGCCCCAACCGTCTGCCCCTGCCTGGTGAAAGAGAGGGAGGATGGAGTGAGCAGGGGCAGGGCCTCAGAGAAGGGGCATGAAGAAGGCCCAGCAAGGGTTTTTGGGTTTGAGGTGGATCCTGGATTGTGCTTAAATTCAAAAAGTGATCTCATGCTTAAAAAAGGTTGGAGACCCCTGCACTACACGGTTATGTGAGAAGACTCTTTTTAAACTTAAACTGGGCTTGGTTCAATGTGAAATTCTTCCAAGTTCCCAGTAACATAGCAGACCATGTTTGAGTCAGGATCGGCTCCCAAAGTTCAACAGCTGTTTCTTTTGTTGCCCTAGGAAAGGAGAGAAATGGATTGGGGGGGAGGGAGGAATTGGCCCTGCGCGTGCATCCCTAGAATTTGGAGGGTGCCGACTGAACCGTAGCAGCGCTGTGATTGGCTGCAGAGGCAGCGCCCGGCGCTCACAGTCAGGGTGGTGTGCAGTCAGCACACACCTCGCTTCCCGGGCCCATCCTGGTAGGGAAAAACAGTGCGGACAAAACCCAGCAGAGCCTGACAACCCTGCATGTGGGCAGGAGTCAACAAAATGCCTCACAGGCCTCACCTCGAACCCCGATGGGCTGCGTGCGCCCACCACAGATTCCAGAGCTGCTTGGCCAGTCCAGATTAATCAGCGCTCTGCAGGTTTAAACGTGCTACCAAAACCATGCGGGGCACCTCGTAACCTGACATATAATGTTGTTGGTGATAAGGTTGGCCAGTGAGCGATGAGGGTTTAGATGATACTGCACCACACCTGTGTTGCACCAAGATGCTTACAACAATGGAGAGTGTGAATACAGGGGTTGCGTTCCCGCCCACCAGGGCAGTAACAAAATGACAGGTATTCTCCAGTGTGTAAACGGGAGTGTTACCCAGATGAACCCCTTGGGGCCAAGGCTATTTACATACCGGCCTTACGCCTGCAGGCAAACTCGCCTCCTCCCCAGCAGCGTGGTAGGGGAAGCATGTCCGTTCCACGTTGGGCCGCTGGAACGTGTGGGATGTTCCGGTAGGGGCATATGTAGGCGCCCAAATTTGGCTTCCGCTCTGCTGAACGGGACAGCCCTGCCTCCCTGGTTTTCCTGTGGGACGAAGAGGTCAGACCAAATGGGTCCGATGTTTGCCTGCGAGCGGGGCGGCGCTAGGTCTAACCCGGGCAAGCCGTGATCCCGTGTGTTGTTTCACTTCCCAGGCACGCTTTGAAAATGAACAAGAGCAGCTCTGAGCTGGAGAAGGTCAGCAATGGCTCTGCGGAGAGCCCGCCTTTCCGGGAGAGCCACGTCCGCTTCGTGGCTGGCTCCACAGACAGCCTCAGCTCTGACACCAGGACGGCCAGCGAGGAAGGTAACTGACCCTTGCTCCATTGTGCGCGTGCGCGTGCGTTGGGTTTATGGAAGGGGCAATCCACAGCCCGAGGGCTGAAATCCCTTGTTCAGGCAGCATCCAGACCCCAGAACAAGCACAGCTTTGGCAGTACGAGCTTTCCCTAGGCTGAGTTCAACTTCCATACCTGTGCTCCTACTGTAGTCGGTGGCAATGCTTCCATGGATGTCTGTGCACACGGGATCTTGCCTCTGACCGCGCCGATGTCGATGGTCTGGGGGAAGGTCACTTGCTGTCTTCACGGTCCCAGCCATTATGCTCTGTCATTACACGCTGGATTGGAAACGGGTGATCTCCCGTGAACAATGGTGTATCCCGTGACCAGCCTCTGAGCTGTGCACTTCCCCCAACTCTCTTGTTGAGTCTCTCTAGACAATCTGGGCCGAGACACAGCAGCTCGCTTTTCGTAATGTGCCAATGCCAAAATGGTGCCTGCTGCGGGTTTTTAGACACCAGGCCAGACCATCAACCCCCCACCTCCTCCCTGGCCAATGGATAGACCTGCCGAATGTGCTCCAGGATCAGAGATACAGAGGAGCATTCATCTTTGACATGTGACTGCCTCGGTGGGTTGCAGGGAGGCAGAACACATCCTGTAGCTCTACTAGAGGAAATCAAAGATAGCAAGAGGGACAGAGATTAGCGTGATGTGGTGTGCACAAGTATTTTGTAAAGGAGGAGTGGGGGGGGAGTGCCCTCTTTAATTAGTTTGGGTTTTCTTTGAAAAATAGATGCAGGGTGTCCCGCTATACATCCGTTCCACACTAAAGTCAAAGCTTGTAGGAACTGATCCATTATAAGTCTTCCCATTCCCTGCTCTTAAGTCACACACAAAAAAAACCCAAACGATTTGCACTAATGGAAGTCAGCCAAGGGGGGGGGGGAGAATTCTGTAAGTCCAAGTTTTTTTTGAACGTATCTTGGACTTATAGCGAGGACGGCCTGTATCTCCCATTTGTGCCTTTGAACATCTCCGTACCGACACCTTACACAGTCCTACAACTATTTCCTTTTCAAATAGCCGTTTTCATATCATGGAAGTTTTCTGCCTCTCCAGGAGCAACAATTCATAGCGATAAAATTCAGAGCTAGTTGTCTGGAAATGACATTTTCCTAGCCTGGCTCTCTATTTAAGAGGGAGAACATGCCAGGAATTATAAAAGAAAAAAATCTTATTGTATGTCAGACTTGTGCTCTCTCGGTACCTTAACTTATAGCTGTCAGATGTGACCAGAAGAGGAAAGGGGTTTCCTTGTTCGTTTCAGTGACGCACGGAATTTTAATTTTCTTGAGAAATTTGAAAATTAACTGCTTGAGTGATTTTGCTAATGTAAATGAAGAGCTGATCACATAGGCCCGAGTAGGAATAACCAAGATCCAGTTGATTTTTCCAGGCAAGCTTGACCAAAAATTCAGTAGCAAGATCTATGTGTTCGGAAGTGGTTCAAAGCAGGCTCTGACCTAGCTTCAGATAAATTTAAAAAACAAGGGAGTTTTATTAAAGAACATTGTGAAATGGCTAATCCAGACAGTGTAGCTTTCCTGCCCCGAGTACTGGGTATTACATTTGATTTATTTTACACTGCTTCTGGCTGTTGATTTTTTTCATTCTGCGTTAGATCTTAGCGCTACAGATGGTTATGGAAGTAGTCGAGGGAAAGCTGGAGATTTTGGTAGTTAGGCAGTATCCAGAGAGACCTTTATGGCACACGGGGGAGGTGTAAGAGACACTTTGCGGTTGTGGACTCAGCATGTTACTGGGATGTTAAAATACTTCACAGTGAAATAGGAAACCATGTGGACATTGGAATTTGCAGCATAGAATCATAGGCCTGTAGGGGACCCGAAGAGTCTTGCCCCCATCGTTCACTTTCAAAGCTGATGGCTCCCTGGATGGTGAACGGGGTGGATCACACCTCTGGGAACTGATTTCAGGCTGTCTGCTGACTCAGGCAAAGCCACCTATCTTGATTTAGAATCATAGAACCATAGAGCTGGAAGAGCCCTCAGAAGGTCAAGTCCAGCCCCCTGCCCAAGGCAGGACCAACCCCAACTAAATCACCCCAGCCTGGGCTTTGTCAAGCCGAGACTTAAACGCCTCTAGGGATGGAGATTCCACCCCCTCCCTAGGGAACCCATCTCAGTGCTTCCCCACCCTCCTAGGGCAATAGTTTTTCCTAATATCCAACCTGGACCTCTCCCACTGCAACTTGAGCCCATTGCTCCTTGTTCTGCCATCCGCCACCACTGAGAACAGCCTCTCTCCATCCTCTTTGGAACCTCCCTTCAGGAAGCTGACTGCTGCTCTCAAATCCCCCCTCACTCTTCTCTTCTGCAAACTAAACAGGCCCAACCCCCTCAGCCTCTCCTCGTAGGTCATATGCTCCAGCCCCCTAATCATTTTGGTTGCCTTCCACTGGACCCTCTCCAATGCGTCCACATTTGCTCTCTTTGAAGGATTCCTTTGCACTCAGAAGGGCAAAAACCTGGGGCCATATTGCTGTGTGCGGCTGAGCTTTGCTCGGAACACAGCGGCAGGCAGGCAGCTGCTGCGGGTGGGGGCAGACGGCTGTGCTGTTTTGATGTTCCCCTGCACCGAGAGCTCACAGAGCTACTCGTGATGCTGCTCTCGGCAGCTGAGGAGACTGTGGGAGAACTTGGAGGGAATCCTGAGATGTGGTCAGCTCCGCCTCCCCACAACACGGCACTGTAGGCTACGTACCCACAATGCACTGCTCTCATGGATGATGGTGCTCACAGTGTGGGCATGATCTGTCGACAGAGGAAGCAAGCATGAACGCCCTCTGGCGATGTTTGTTTTGTCGACTTCTGGGTGTCGACTAAACTTGATAGTGACGACATAGCTGTGATATAAGCCAAAGATAGGCTATGGACAGTCACTGCTCCGTCACTAGCTGAACTTGAACGAGCAACCTACAGGTGAAAGGTGCTCTGTTAGCCCAGTCCCAGGCCCCGGTGTCTTGCCGTTGCATGAATTTCTGTGTATAGAAAAGTTCTTTAATGAATGCATGGCCAGTGATTCACTTGGCTAATCTACAAAGGACCCGCTAATGTCAGCCCTGGAACCACAGACCAGGGTCAAAGAGTAAACAGGATTTATTGCTGCCCAGCCCTTGATAATGCAAAAATCTGCCAGGAGGCTTCCCCGATCTGGCTCTGTGCGCACAGATGTAGCGGCACATGCTGGCTAGGAAGTTTTTAACCTAGTATTAAATGATTTCAAAATATTTATATTGCCAAGTACGACTATTTATTCTCATGATTCCTCATGGCATGTGAATAATCAAATACCATGGGTTGTAATTTTTCATCCCTTCTGAACGACACCAATTATTACTCTTACATTTTTTGCTCTGATAAAACTCTTTTTCCCCCCCCCCCCTCATGACAAATGACCAGCCTTTCTCCGGGCCAGATTTAACAAGAGAGGAAAACGTTCATAAAGCACAACTGAGTGAACCGAGCCGGGTGCCAAGATCCACATTCTGGTGCGCGCCCACGGTTCAGCGGAGGCATGTGAACAGCACTCCATTCTTAAAGCGCGTCGCTGGGAGACTGTGTGAACTGAGTCAGTGGAGGACTTTGTAGCCGGGGGGAGTTGGCTGAATTCTGCGCCTTCCCTCCTCCCCCGAACTTGAACCTTGCCCTGTGTGCAGCAAGCCATGGAGTTCAGTGTGTCACCTCTTTCTCACTGCTCTGACAATGCTTAATCTGCAGGGCCGAGCTGTACGTCACATGAGTCCGTCTCTCTTTTCTTCTGCCTCGCCTATCCCGTTTAATTGCTGAGCCACTGTGGCACAAGAAATAAGCAGGCTTTGTTTGAATAGTTGTTGCTGAACAAGTCCCCTTCAGTATTTCATTCTGAACGCCTCTCAAGTGACTTCAGAGTTTAGCTATTTACCCTATACCAGTTTTACTACTGTTTGGCAGCTAGTACAGGAGGAAATGCCAGTGTTTCTTCAAACTACCATCGAATATCAACCTCTTCCTTCAAAACACTGTTGAATGATTCCGATTAAATCTCTTTCACCGTAGATTTGCTATAACTAACTGGCAATGCACACTGGATTTGGGTCTAATTCTTTTGTCCACATCTGGGTTTAAAGGCCAGCTATATTGTAGGACTTCTTAAGGTTTTATAAACATCACAAGTGTTTGTAACAACAGGGAGTTAATAAACCACGTAAGATATGTCCACACTGCAAAATAAAAACACCACAGTGGGCTCTTGGGGAATAAACGAGGGCTGTCAAGTGATTCAAAACATGAATTGCAATTTTAAAAATGAATTGCAATTAATCACGCTGTTAAACAATAATAGCATAACATTTATTTTAAATATTTTTGGTGTTTTTTTTTTTTACATTTTCAAATATTCACTTGAATTACAACATAGTGTACGGAGCTCACTTCCTATTTTTTATTACAAGTATTTGCACTGTCAAAAACAAAAACTGTCATTTTCAGTTCACCTCATAAAGTGGGTCTGGCCCACGATAGCTCATCATCTAATAAACCATCTTGTTAGTCTTTAAAGTGCTACATAGTCCTGTATTTTGTAACAGTACTGTAGTGAGAGCTCTTTATCATAAAAGTTGAACTTGCAAATGTTGAATTTTGTACAAACCGGTAACTGCATTCAAAACTAGAACAATGTAAAACTTTAGTGCATACAAGTCCACTCAGTCTTCCTTGCTCACAATACCACCTGATAATGAGAGCAGGTGTTTGCATGGCACTGTTGTAGCTGGTGTTGCAAGAGATTTACTTACCACATGTGCTAAAGATTCATCTGTCATCCACTGTTCCTGAGGAACATGTTTCCATGCTGATGATGGGTTCTGCTCAATAATAGAGTGCAGCCTGATGCGTGGTCACTTTCATCTGAGTTAGGGATATAATAATGTGACCGTTTAAACGGTTAACTAATGAGCATGAACTTATCGGTTACCATAACTGTTCTACGCTGGCTCCCGTTCCCGGGAAGTTGGCTGCCATCCCATGCTGCTGACCCTGTTTTAGAGCCTGCAAGTCGAGGCAGCAACCAGCTCACTGCAAGCGGGGCCAGGAGCTGGCTTAAAAGCCAGTTTTCAGGGTGCACCGGCTCCCAGGGAGCCAGCTGCCACCATGCACTGCATGCGCTGCGGTATAAAACTTATACTACAGAATCTGCAGCGTAGCCAGCTCCCTGGAAGTGGGGCCGACTGCTGGGAGCCGGCTTCTGGTGCGTGCTTGCTGCCAGACCCACTCCCCTGGAGCCGGCTGCACTGTGGGCTCCTCCGTATAAGCTTTCTATTGCAGAGCCTGCTGCTTGTAACTGCAAAGATTTTTAAAAGTTACAGTTACCTAATTAACTGCTTTTTAACATCTCTAATCAGCAGGATGGTGATTTTGTTGGGTTTTTTTAATTCATGTTCAGTAACTTCCACATCAGGATGTTGCTCTTTTAAGACTTCTAAAAGTATGCTCTACGCCTCCTCCCGCTCCAATTTTGGATGGCACTTCAGATTCTTAAACTTGGGTTGAGTGCGGTAACTGGTTTTAGAGATTTCACACTGTCGTCTTTGGCTTGTGTCAAAAAAATGCAGCGAAAGTGATATTTAAACTAACTTGCTAGATCATCATCTGCTACTTCTGTCACATGAAATATATGGCAGAGTGCGGGTAAAACGGAACAGGAGATGTACGATACCTTCCCCCCGAGGAGCTGAGTCACAGATTTAATTTACACTTTTTTTTAATCAGCATCATTAGCATGGAAGCATGTCCTTTGGAATGGTGGCAGAGGCATGAAAGATTTACAAATGTTTAGCATATTTGGCAGTAAAATACCTTGCAATGCCAGCTACAAAACTGCCACGTAAACACCTGTTCTCACTTTCCGGTGACATTGTAAATAAGAGGCGGGTTGCAGTATCTCCCGTCAGTTTAAAGAAAGTTGTTTGACTTCCCCCTCTTGGTATTCACACCTCCCCATCAGCTGCTGGGAGTGAGCCACTTCCACCCTGATTGAATTGATCTCCTGAACACTAATCCTATACTTGATAAATAACTTCCTTCTTTTGATACAGTAGCACACATATATCCCTGCCTCCGCAATTTCTACTCTCATGTGCCTGATGAAGTGTGTTTATCCACAAAAGTTTATGCCCAAACAAATCTGTTAGCCTTTAAAGTGCCACAGGACTCCTCGTTGTTTTTTTGCAGATACAAGAAACATGGCTTCCCCTCAAAGATTTGTGTGTCTTTGCGAAGGGCAGAACACAAAGTAGGACTGAATGGACTTGTAGGCACTAAAGTTTCACATTGTTTTGTTTTTGAGCGCAATTATATAACAAACAAAATTACATTTGTAATTTGGACTTTCACAACAAAGAAATTACCCAACTGTTTTGTATGAGGTGAACTGAGAAATGCTATTTATCATGTTTACAGTGTATATATCTGTAATAAAAAATCACAGTATGCAGTGACTGCTGTACACTTCGCGTTCTGTGTTGTAATTAAATCAATATTGAAAATGTGTAGAAAAACATCCGAAACTATGTAATACATTTGAATTGATAGTCTATTGTTTCCCAGGGTGATTAATTTTTTTAATCGTGATTAAAAAATTATCTGCACGATAACTCACGATAAACTGCAGACCAGTTTCTATATAAATAGTATGTTGCTGGCGTGTTTGCAATTACATTGTAAAACACATCTAACGTTGTAGAAGTCTATCTGTGGAGCCGTACCGCACACTGGAGAGCAAAACACATGCTAAATGAATCTGCTACAGTACTCTCCCTTGCAGTGTCATGTGCTGGATCAAGGGGTCGGTTAATCGAGTAGTTGACTAACTGCATGAATTCTTAGCGGTTAGTCAACTATTCTATAGTCCCCGGGGCCAAGGCCAGCAGCCAGTCACAGGCCTGGCCCTAGGGCGAGGCGAGCAAGGCAAATTACTTGGGCCCTGTGCTTTTGGGGGCCCGTGTTGCTGAGTATTCAACATCCACCGACCGGGTCCGGAGCCCACCCCCCAGTGACCTGCCTTGGGCCCCGCAAACCCTTCGGCCGGGCCTGGCCAGTATGCTCCGTCCCCACTCCCAAGAAGCCCCTTGCCACCCTGTGTTGCTGCCTCTGTATCCGAGGCAGCAGCATGAGGTGCCAGGCAGGAGCTGGTCCATGAGGGGAGCCAGTTTAAAAAATAGCTCCCCTCGCAGATCGGCTGCCTGCTGCCACGCCCTGCTGCCCCTGAGAGAGAGGCAGCACCGTGGAGCCAGGGGGAACTTTGCATGGCAGGTGCTCTAATAGAATATGTCCATCACATTCACATATAGCTACGTCCTAGCTAGTCCTGCTTCCAAAAAGGAGAGCTTCCACTCAAACTACCTAGGCTTCCCTGCCTGCAATCGCTGCATGACTTTGATGGTTTTTTCACTGCAACTTGTCTGGCCTTGTGGCCCAGTTCTCTTGTTGCAGCATCCGAGCATCTCTCCCCGAGAGTGACTCCTCTCCTACTGCAAACAGAGGCGCTCTCGCCGACTGAGTTCCAGAAGAGGGACCCGAGGCAACCCGTAGGGACTGGTGGAGCATGTGCGATGATGCCTGCCGCTTTGGTGTCATTGCTCTGCATCTGTGGTGAATTATTTAATAAGACCCCCGAGCTCCCATTGCTGGATCGGGGATGGAAATCAGGCCCCTCACTGTGACTTGTGCCCTTGAAGATCTCCCCTGGTGTTTTCCATGCTAATACGGGACAGCGGGGAGCCCCAGTTGCTAAAGCCGTTGACTGTCGTGTCATCCGGACAGTCACCTGAACAGAGCCCTTTGCACTGACCAGCCAGCTTTTTTTCTGTTCCTCTCCCTGCAGGCTCCACCCAGGACAGGTCTCTGGATGCGCCTGAGCAGCCGCCGCCTCTGCCACAGAAGAAAACGGTAAGCCGCGCACTCTCGTCGCCCGATGGCTTTTTCTGGGGCCCTGCCTCTCCGGGCAGAACAGCGAATCCCTCCAGCCCCAGACTGAACCTCAGTCACTCCGAAAGCAACGTCTGCGTCCGCAGAGACTCCCCGTTCAGCTGCTCCTCTCACGTGGGCGGCAGCCACCCCGCCGCCTCCTCCGAATCGCTGGAAAAGGCCTGCAAAGGGAACGGCCCGTGGGGTCCAGCGTCCAACCAGAGTGGCCGCGCCCGCCTCCCGAACCGAGCCGGGCAGGCGTTTCCATCCTCTCCGCTCCTTGCGTCTGGCCCGGTCCCTTCCGTCTCCAGCCTGCAGCTCCACACTCTGCTGCACAATATCGACAGCAAGGAGGGGGTGTACGCCAAATTAGGGGGGCTCTATGCCGAATCCCTGCGCCGCCTCGTGGCCAAATGCGAAGACTGTTTTATGCGGGATCAGAAAACCGAGCTGCGTTTCCACGAGAAGAACTGGTCGCTCTTTAAGCTGACGTGCAACAAACCCTGCTGTGTCTCGGGCGATGCTGTCTATTACTGCGCCACCTGCGCCAAGGACCCTGCCAGCACCTATGCCGTGAAGGTACGGTTGCTTTGTTTGCGTTGGCTGTTCGGCTCTTGTCTCTGCAGTCAAGCAGGAACATACCCTCTGGGCACGTGGGCTACATAAACTGGCCCAGCTCCACCGAAGTCCACTTCTGGGAGATCATTCCAGGCCTGGTTAGCATGCGAAGCACAATTCTATAAAGCCAATAGCTTTACCCTCCCGATAGTAATCCTTCAAATATGCAGGGTTCGTTGCCATAGCTGTGCAGCAATGAATAAAGCATCAGCCTCATAGGTGTTCATTAATAATACTTGGCACCTACGTCGTCTTTACAATAGCACCTCTGTGAGAGAGGTGATATTTTATATGTGGGGAAACTGAGGCAGTCCACGACCACAGAGGAAGTAGCAGAGCTAGATTGGAATGCAGGAGGCCCTAAATTCTCTTCATGTCATCCTCTAAAGCAGTGTTTCTTAAACTGTGTCCCATGGAACACTGGTGTTCCCTGAACAACTCGCAGGTGTGCCACGACCTCTTCTTTTTTTCTATTACTACTTTTTGTGTGTGAGACAATGGTTTTTGTCTGCTTTTCCCGGTGCCTGACGGAAGCCCACTCGGGATACGTGGCATCCCCGGTGTATTTTTTTATTACTATTTTGCTCGACAAATATTTTCCCTGGCAGGTTTTTTTTTTTTCCTTTCTTTTTACTCGACAAATTTTTACAGCCATCTGGCAACCCTAAGTGTTCCACATTAAAAAAAAAATATTGCTTGGTGTTCCCTAGTCTAAAAAGTTTAAGAAACACTGCTCTAAAGCATGTTGTCTGTTTGGAATAAGCCTGCTTCTGCATGTGTGCTAAGACTGGACATTAGAGTGTGTGGTAAAACCTTGGTAAACTGCTGTTTCAGGGTAAGGTGTCATGTTTTATGAATTCTTGGTTTTGTCTGGATCCAAGTTAGCCAGGGTGCAGGTACGTAAATGGGTGTCGCATTGAAGCAGCCCCCTCATAAATCGTCAACACTGTTGTTGTCTCCCTTGCTAAGTTTAAATCGGAGAAATCATTCGTCATGTGGTTGCCACGAAGGCCAGTCACACGTTGGTTGATAGGGGCTTACAACGAAATAGCGGCAGTGCTTGGTTTTCGTCACAGCCTGTTTTTTCTTGATTGCATAATGAGGAGGATTGCTTTTCACTCCGTACTGGACCTGTCTGCCTCGAACATACACAAGCTGATTAAAAGTAGCATGAAAGACAGGCTGTTTCCTCTCTAGTTGAAAGCATCTGGCCGAGACACCTTTGAGTGCCCATGTTACCTCAGCAGTCTGTCTTTCGACCTTATGATACAGTGTTCCCTGTAAGCTGAGTGCTTGGGCAGCCATCCAGGACAGATTCAAATGCTGCCCAACTGATTAACAGAGCACCCACAGACGGCAGCATGTGTATCTACTGGTGGTGCACGTCCGACATGGCTTGGTGCACATAAGAATATTCATTCCACGCTTGGATGGAAAAAATTAGAGGGAACATTGTTTATGAACCCCAGGAATTGGTAGAGGTATCTTAGAAAGTTAACACACTTAGCAAGTGGCCAATCTCTTTTCACTCAAGTCTAGTGTCTCTGTTTGAGAGCTGGCTTTTAGACTAGAAAGTGTGGCTTTCTGAACCCTGCACAGGCCCAGAGTGGTGTGGCCCCTAATCCCAAAGTGCTCCGGCGTTGGGTGGGCTGACTTTTCCCCTTGTTTAATCTTGGTATTAGGCCCCCTGCTGTACAGTCCTGTTAGCCTGCAGACAGAGAGCGCAAGTCCAGAGGTCAGCCCAAGCCAAAAAAAAGCTACAGATAGGTCAGACTGGAAATAGCTCCAAGCATGTCTTAGTTGAAAAGTGGCCAAAGTAGGTTTGCAGTTCACATTCCAAACAAACCGGACATCCGTCATCGAATTTAACAGGAGGGTTTTAAGTAGGCAGAATACAGTGACAGACTGACGCCTCGATCAGTGCTAACCGTGGAGACGTGCAGGTTTCACAGAGCCGTGCACAAGTCCGAGTTGGCTGTACCTTTCCCCCAAAGGAAAGTCAGTGCACTGAATTGGAATGACCCGTCTCATGGCGCCGCACACAGCGGACTCCCCCTGGCCTGACTTACTCAGAAGAATTTAGGCCTTTCTGTTGTCTGTACCAATCTGACCTGATTCTGAAGTCCCCTGAGGGAATGGAGTGTTGTAAAGGACAGAACCCTTGTTTTTTACATAATAGGACTTTACTTATGTCCCGCATAGGGCAGTATTTCTCAACCTTTTTTTATAAAGTACCCCCTTTAAAAAAAAAAAAAAGTACCCCCAGTACCTACAGTTTTCAGACACACACATTTTTTTTTCTACCATTGCAACACATTTATTTAAACAACTTAATTGTATCTGGGCGGGTGGTGAAATTTTGGGTGTAAAAAGGACAAAAATAAAACACTGTAAAACTTAAAACAAAAATTCAGTTTTCTCCAGATTTCCGTTGTGTTGACGTACCCCCAGACGTCTCTCGAGTACCCCTAAGGGTACTGGTACCACTGGTTGAGAAACACCGCCATAGGGAACCTGTGTTTATTCTGGAATCCTGGCAGATGGTAGTAATGGAGCTAGAACACGCTGAGGTAGCTTTGCTGGCCACTAGTGCCAAGTGGATTTCTGCCGTTTTCCAGAGTCCTTTCATTGTCGTTGTTAGACTGATGGAGGGACTGTAATTGGGAGACTTAGCAGCTGCTGGATTTCTTTCCCTGCCTATTGTACCATTGCCCAGGGTTTCAAACGGGAAAGAGATTACAGGCCTGCCGTTAAAATTAGACCCAGAGAAACAAGACAACTTGACAGGTTTAGCTGAGCCAAGTGTCTGCTGAGGCGTTGGAGCCAACACTTTGTGCTGAGCTATTGGCATTGGCTATAGCAAGCACACACATGTGAACATGCTCCTCTGGGGTCAGACCGACTGCAGGGAAATCAAGCCAAAATATGCTCCCGGCCTTGGCTTATTCCTTCAGTCAAGCCCACGGTGCTAAGCCAGAGACCGGATCTGAGCCCCATCTCTCCTTGCCATGCTCACTGTGTTTCAAACGGACCTGGCCTACCGTTCTGTCCTGGCGCCGGAGAAACCGGACAGACGCCACACTGAGGCTTGATTTTGCTGCCTCCGTTCGCTTCCTGAGGTGAGCAGGGCTGTGTACCCCTCTAGCAGGAGTAGGGGTACAGGATTGGATCCTGACTTTGTGTTTCCATGCAGAATGTTCCCCATGGATTGCAACTGGCTACATCAAAGAAGTTGTCGTTTAATTACTGAGCATGCATGCAGGCACTTGCACTAAAAAAGGCCCATATAATTTGTATGCTGCTTATAATAAATAACAACCAGTACATAACATGGGACTAGCAAAAGGCATACTTACACCTACACTAGCAAACTGATGGGCGATAAAACTGAAAGCCCTTTCCCTCCTTCATAGCTCTTTGCTAAGGTTCTGTAGGGGCTGGAGTGTTTAATCTGTAATCTATCCCTGGGCCAGTTTCCTTGAAACCATCCTTTAACAGCATACATCTGCACGAGCAGCAGACCCTTTTTACTAAGAAAAAGAAATAAATGTATGTTAATAGCTCTCCCCGCAGTATGTAGCCACTAGAATGAATGCCCAGCAGAATTTTAGTTTTTAAAACGTTTCCCCGGGAGCACACAAATGTGTCTGCCCTGGAAGTCCTGCCGATTTATTTTTGCACTCACTTTCGCTTAGATGACCCAACGGATATCGTGTCCCGGGCTTGTGTGCACTTTAGGAGAGGGAGAAATTTGCTCCGGGGTTTGAAACCTCCTGTGCTGAGTTCTAACCCAGAGCAAATTCATGTGGCTGAGGTACAAATAAATCTCTGCATTAAAAAGGCTTGCAATGGACATGCTAAGAGGCCTGTCATTGTTGCAGAGCTAATGGATGTTGCTACGATAAATCCATTTTTCTGCAGTTATTCATGCTGTCACAATGGGAAAAGTTTAAAACACAAGGAAAAGTTGAGTGTAGATTTAGGTGAACTTTGACTTGGATGGTGGGACGGGAAGCTACATAATGCCCTCCCTTTTCATTTTATGTGGGTTCTTTTGTTTGCCCCTTGGCCAATCCTTTCTAGTCCTCCATTGATGTTTCTTGTCTCGGTATAGTCCTCATTTTTCTTTTTGTCATGGCTATTGTGAGGCAGGGCCATTCACGTGAGCTGCCTTTTGTACTAATAGCTGCTTTAGATTTTCCATCAGGCCAATACTTGAGACTTTTGCTGGCTTTTTCTGGCCCCAGTTTCAGGGCTTTGCTAGTATGTGCCAGGCGGACCTGAACCAAAGTGGAGGGAGAAGGAACAGTGAAAATAGTTTGAGTTTCTGGGAGAGAGCTGTGTTCTAAATGTAGCCTTGGATGGTATAATCCCAGTTTGCTCACTGAGGACCAGATGTTCTCTGGCCTCGTATTCCTCTGTGGTCTTTAGACAGGACGCTCTGGTCCTGTCTTCACTACAAAATCAGTTATGTCTGAGGACCTAGGTTCAACGTAGTCAAAGCCCTGTCTCTGTTGCAGGACAGAACGGTGTGGTAACCATGCCTGAGAAGTGTGGTCGTATCCAGGGCCGCATTATGACTTTTGTGGGCCCTAGGCACGTTTGCCTTCGTGGGCCCTCTCCTCCATAAAAAAAAATATTAAAAATACTTTTTGATACAACTTTAAATACTTCAACATTTTATTTTTTGTCTGTTTTAGGCAAAAATTTAATAGATTTTCGTGGGCCCTAAAAGTTTCATTTTTTTCTGATGTGAGAAAAAAATTTAAACATTTTCTTCGAACCTAAAAGTTCATTTTTTTTTCTTCTGATTTTAAAGGAAATTAAAACATTTTTGTGGGCCCCTAATAGTATCGTGGGCCCTAGGCACTGTGCCTACTGTGCTTAATGGATAAGTCGGCCCTGGTCGTGTCCATCGTCTTTTTAGCCTTTATTTCTTCATCTGTAAAATGGGGATTATGCCATTTATTTCCATACCTCCTGGAGCATTGTGAGCATTAGTTGACATCTGTAGAGCACTAGGTGTTCATGGTCGGTCTAGTGGACAATAGAACAAATAGTTTGTAGACTTGTATTTTAAGCTGGGTATTTTGTGTGTCATTTTCCTTGTGATTTCCCGGGAAACAGTCGTATTCCGTCAGCTGTGGAATATCAGGGAGCATTTCTCAGCTCCTGTTTCTGCCCCTCTGACCAGCAGAGCCAAATGGAGATAGATCCAGCTGCTGGCCAGAAGGAGGAGGGGCAGGAATAGATGGGTGAATCCTCTGAGCTGAAAACACACCCTGAGCAGTAACAACGGGCTGTTGCCAGTGTTCATGTTGTACATATAGCCCCAGGACTTCCCTGTCCTAAATGAGACGGTACCACTCGAGAGATCTTGGAGTTATCGCCGATGGCTTTCAGAAAACATTCGTCTAATCTGTAGTGGCAGTCAAAAAAGGTAACTGTGTTAAGAGCCCTTAGGAAAGGGATAGATAATAAGAAAATAAATATAATGCTGCTCTATAAATCCATAGTATGCTGACCCCTTGAGTACTAAATGTAGTTCTGGTCACCCTATCTCAAAAAAGACCCCTTGTACATGAAAAAAGTGAGGCGAAGAGCAACACAAATAGTTAGCGGCATGGGACAGCTTCTGTATAAAGAGATTAAGAAGACTGAAACTGTTAAACTGGGAAAAGAGACTATTAAGTGAGGATATGAGAGAGGTCTGTGTAATCATGACTGGTGTGGAGAATGTGAATAAGGAAATGTTACGTGAAGGGTAAATAACACAAGAAACGGGGGGGGGAGAGGGTCTCCTGATGAAATTAACAGGCAGCAGACTTAAATCAAACAAAAGGAAGTACTGCGTCACACAACGGAGAATGAATCTGTGAAACGCCTTGCCTGGGGATGTTGTAAAGGCCAAAACAGACTAAACTTCTCTAGTCCGGCACTCTGGTCTGGCAACATCCGTGGTCCGGCATGATTTTAGTGAGCTGGATATCCACTTATCATGGGTGTGGCCAAGTTTCCTGGTATCCCAAAAAGTTTGATGACAGCCACTAGTCCTGGCGCTCAGTGTTCTGTGCTGTTCGTTAGTTCTAATTTACCCCTAAATGTCTTCTAAGAGCCCAGCAAGCAGTGGAAGTGCTAGTAACGCTGCTAGACAATATTGACTTTCCATGGTCTGGCAAATTCTCTGGTTCAGCACAGGTGAGGTCCCAAGGGTGCTGGACTAGAGAGGTTCAACCTGTATATTCAAAAAAGAATTAGATACATTCATGGAGGATAGGCTGATAGCTAAGTAGATCGGGGTTGCAACCCCTCTGAGTATCTGTATACCTCCGCCAGCCCAGTGCTGGGCAATGGGAACAGGGATGGGCCATGTGATGATTGCCCTGTTTTGTTCATCTCTTCTGGGGCATCTGGCATTGGTCATGATTGGAAGTTGGGATTCTGGCCTGCCCCGTATGGCCGTTCTTGTTAGGCCCTGAAGATCAATGCCCTGCTAAGCCAGAGGCACCCCTGAGCACATTTTGCCAAGCAGTCAGAGTCTGAGTGAGGGACCCCCCTAACCCACCTTGTGATCTCTTGTCTCTTGACAGATTTGCAAAACTCCAGAATCCAAAGTGTCTGCTTCCTACCACAGCCCCTCTGTGCCGGTTCACTTCAACATCCAGCAGGACTGTGGGCACTTCGTGGCGTCGGTGCCCTCCAGCATGTTGCTGTCGGCTGACGTAGCCAACAGCACTCCTCCCTCGGACGGCCCCGGCCTCTCCCGCTCCTCCAGCGAACAGGATTGCGTTGTCGTCATCACGCGGGAAGTGCCGCAGCAGACCGCGGCTGACTTCGTGAGGGAGACTGCCGCGTACCATCAGAGCAAGCCCGAGCTGTACGAGCGGCGGGTGACCTTCCTGCTCCTCCAGCTCTGCCACGGCCTGGAGCATCTGAAAGACCACAGCATCATCCACCGGGACCTGTGTCTGGAGAACTTGCTGCTCGTTCACTGCAAACCTCTCGCCGGCGGCGGGAAAGCCAAAGAGGAAAAGCACTTGCCCAGGCTCATTGTGAGCAACTTTTTGAAAGCCAAGCAAAAGCCGGGCACCGGGGACTCCAAACTGAAAAAGAACCAGGCCCGGCTGGCCCCGGAGATCGTCTCTGCCTCTCAGTACAAAAAGTTTGATGAATTTCAAACGGGCATCCTCATCTACGAGCTTCTCCACCGGCCCAACCCGTTCGAGGTGAGGCCCCATCTCAGGGAACAGGACTACAGCCGAGATGACCTCCCCCCACTCCCCTCCCTCTCCATTTACTCCCGCGGGCTCCAGCAGCTCGCACACTTGTTGTTGGAAGCCGATCCGATCAAACGCGTCTGCATCACGGAGGCCAAGCGGATGCTGCAGTGTCTGCTCTGGGGTCCCCGGAAAGATTTAACGGACCAGCCTCGGAACCATGAAGAAGTGCTCTGTAGTGCTCTCCAGAACTGGATCGACATGAAACGGGCCCTGCTGATGATGAAGTTTGCAGAGAGGGCGGTGGACACGGAGCGGAGCGTTGAATTGGAGGATTGGCTTTGCTGTCAGTATTTAGCTTCTGCGGACCCTGCTTCCCTCCTCAATACACTGAAGCTCCTTCAGCTTCTCTGATCTCAAAAGCATCGCCATCCGAAGCAGCAGCAATAAGGAACGTGAGAGATTTCCACGGTTGACATTCACTCATGAACAATGGTACAAATCACTTTCGTGCTTATAGCATGTGACTGACTAAGAACCCAGCAGGTGATCTTTCTCTCCCCACCAAAAAAAATCTGTAAATTTCAGGTGGATTACATTGCCTTGAATGCTGTACACTGCAAACAAACAAAAGCGGGTGCCTGCTATTTTTGGTATGGTAACTCTGTGGGCAAATAAAAACTTGTGCACGCGTATGTTTCTTACAGAGCGGAATGAGTTTGTGTTGAATTTCGTGGCAGACACGGAGCCTTGTTGGCACCAGATTTTTCCCCCCATAACAGATGGAACATCTAAGGCAATTTGCTTCTTAGATGATCTCGAGATTTGCAACGTGGTTCTCAGGCCCATGCGACAAAAATCGCAGCAATGCAAAATGCCAGCAGAAATAAGCCAGACATGCTGTTTTCAGGCTTTGCCAATGCTATTGGGAGCAGGTAGGACACCCCTCTTCCCCAGCAGGGGCTGGGACTAGAGACACTGCAGATTTTAAAGGCATTGTTTCCGGAGCAGCAGACGTAACGGTCCAGACGTGAGTACCTGTAGGAACAGTTCTTTTTGGCACACGTTCAATCCCCATTTCTGTAACCAGCTTACAGCAGTCACAGGTTTTCATACATAAGCTAACCTTTGCCTACCCCAGGGAAGGAGGGGTGAGCCCACAATTTCCTGGCGTTGTGACCACCAGTTCCGGTGGCCAGTGATGAGGGAGCCCAGGTGGGAGCTAGGCACTGAGGTCTACTGCTGTTTAAAAAAGTCTGGTGCAGCCACCCCCGGGGACCTGACTGCACATTCTGAAGGGTTACCAAATTCTCAGGCCAGCTCAGCTCCATCTGATGCCAAACCAAGCGAAGGCAGCGTGCAACTTTTTAACCCTCTTTGAGAGAGTAAAGGACATCCTGCAACCAGCCACGCTGCGAATTAACTCCCAGGCTGCAAGGGGGCTCTTACTTAGCCATGTCTACACTAAAAGGGGAGGTCGAATCAAGATATGCAAAATCGACGTACCTTGTTTCAAGTTTCAGAAGCCGACAGGAGCAAACTCTTCCATTGGCTTCCCTTACTCCTCTCAGGAGAACCAGACGCTGACCAGAGCGCCCTCTGAGTTCAATTTAGCGAGTCTTAACTAGACCCGATAAATCAAGCTCCGGAAGATCGATTGCAGCAGCGTTGATCTTCCGTTTAGTGAAGACATGGCCTTAGCACCAATAACCCTTTAAATATGACTTCCTGTGGCTTGGGAAAGTCCTGTTACTTTCTTGTGACTCTGTTTTCACTGGACTGAGCTTAAAAGTGGTTTGAGTGGGCCCAAGTGAAATGTCCCAGAAGTGTCCGAGTCTGGGCTAGAGGTCCGAATGCACCTGCTGCTGACTCTGCTCTAGTTGATCAGGCACCCTGGGCAAGGCAGAGAATCTGTCCAAGAACCAGACTGGTGAGAGCAAGACCAAAGGCCTCCCTGCAGCCCAGTTCCGGCTAGGGAGACACCGTGCAAAGTGCCCTCTCTGTTAACCTAGGGCACTGTGTTCGCTGGCAGAGGTGGCTTCGACTCCCAGGAAATCAGGCACATCTGCCCCCTCTCCAAAGCCACATGGTTGTGAATTGTCCCAAAGGGCAGCTGGTTGCCCCTGCCTGGCTGTCCGTGGCGGTGCGCTACGAGCCCCACGGGGGTCTGACGGAGAGCTCTGCGAGAGAAGGGAGGAGACGCTGTGGTTCGTTTCGCTGCTTCACCCCGCTTTGAGGAAGATGGACAAAGCTGCTTGGGGCCTGTCACTGGGGTCTAGGCCCGTGGGTGTCAAACTTTCTTTTTTCTTCCTGACCTAGGTGAAGAAAATCTTTGATACCTGCGACACAACATAATTTGACTAGAGTGTGGGCCCCGGGGCGGGGCTGAGAGCTTTGGGGTGCAAGAGGGGGCTCTGACATGGGGGGGCAGGGTTGGGGTAGGTGGGGCTGACCTTGAGCAACTCCTTGTCAGTGGTGCAGCAGGGGGTTAAGGCAGCTTCCTAGCACACAGACCAGGCTCCATCTCAGAAGCAGCCGGCAGCTGGTTCCCAGCCCGTGGGAGTGTGGAGCTAGTGCTCAGGACCGGGGCAGTGCGCAGCACCAGGAGTGCTCCCCCCACCCCACCGCACCCCCCACGCACCTAGGAGCTAGGGCCGGCCCCTGCTGGCATGCTGCACAGTCTGTGGGGCCAGGACAGGCAGGGAGCTGCCTTCACACACCCAATGCAGCACTGAGCCCCAGTGACCGACATCCTACCACCCTGTCTTGCAGGACTGGGGAAACTTTTTTGGGTCAGGGGCCAATCACCCACAGAAAAATCAGCCAGGGGCCGCACACAAGCAAAACCAAAAGCGAACCCGCTGACGTGGCCCCCGACTGAGGAGGAGACACCTTCCCCACGTTCCCCTGACATGCCAGAGCCGATGCTGGAGGGAGCCAAATTCAGGGAAGCCGGGGGCCGCATCCGGCTCCTGGCCTTAGGTTCCCCATCCCTGCAGCACTGAGTCGCAAATTGAAAACCACGAGTCCAGGAGGAGACAGGACGCAGGATCTAACCGCTGTGATTCCTGCATAAGCCCCTTGGGTCTGGCTGAGCTAGAAGAGCTGGGTCGATCTGAAAAGCATTTGATCTCTAAAAAGCCTTAAATCGCCATGGAGACACAGGGCGCTCGCGGGGTAACACAAATCCCCTCTCGCTGGGAGTGCGGGGCGCCCTTCTCACAAGCGCTGCACGTTGTCCTCTGGGCGGCTCGGCTGTGTGCCAGCACAGCAGTGAATGAACGCCACCAAGAACCGGTCACGGCCACACAAATAAACGCGCTTGGCCCGCACAAGGACATGACTCAGCACATCCTGCCCATTGGAATAGTCCTCGTAAACCAGACCGGCAGAAGGAAATGCCCAGAATCTATCGGTCCAATCTGCCCAGAGAGGAAGGTGGGGAACAATGGAATTCCTTCGCAGCAGGCGGAACGCCATATCTGCTCCATTCAGCACAGCTGGCCTGGACGTCCTCCCTCTCTTCCAGGCAGCTTGGACCGGGGAGGCCGACAGGAGCTGCTGGCTCTGCAGCATTTTGGAAAATCAGCTCACCATCTCAGCAGCCTTCATTTTAGGCTCCTATTTTTGAAAAGCTTGGCCCTTATTTTGAGGATTAAGAATGGTGCTGGAGCCACGTTTATAATTCAAAAGAGCGCTGGATTTTTTTTTTTTTTTTACAAGACCCTTGTGCTTAAAAAGGGTCAATAATCCCAATTTTCCTATCGTCATTGCTGTTCCTATCAAACTATGTTCCTGTCGTAACAAATGAATGTTCCCGACAGGATATTAAACCTGCTTCAGGGCTTAACTAGATCTGCTGTTGGAGACCAGGAAGCGACCTGCTATATAGCGTTCTTACTTACACCTTCTACTTACACGGGTGGCCAGTGGTGTCAGATGGACAACGTTATGTAATGTCCTGAACACGCTGTAAGGAATGAAGTTAATCTCTATTGAATTAGGGTCAACACCCGTGACGTTCGTGGTATGACAAATGCCAATATTTATTTAGGGTTGGG